TCACTGGGCTCCAGTGGAGAGAGTCTGGCCCCGTCCTCTTGATACCCACCCTAAAGATATTTATAGGCATTTGTAAGATCCCCTCTCAGCCTTCTCTTCTTCAGGCTGAACAAGCCCAGCTCCTTCAGCCTTTCCTCGTAGGAGAGATGTTCCAGTCCCCTCACCATCCTCGTAGCCCTCTGCTGGACTCTCTCCAGTAGCTCTTCATCTTTCTTGAACTGGGGAGCCGAGAACTGGACTCTACACTCCTGATGGGGCCTCACCAGGGCAGAGCAGAGCAGGAGGATAACTAATAGTCGATTCCTGGTGTGTTGTGCCCCTGCCTTTCTTTGGTGCCCTCTTTCCTGTGCCTTGGTTCCTCCTTTGCTGGCCTGGGCGTAGCGGCGCATGTCGTCTCGTGGAGACGGGGTTGAGCAGCTGTCAGGGAAGGGCTGACTCATGTGAGGGAGACTGTGAAAAGCTGAAGGCCGTTTTTCCCCTGGGCAAACAGCTCAGATCTCTATGGTGATCTTGGGTAACATGTTTGAAGCCAATGCTTAGGGGGCATTTTTATCCTGGTTTCTGAAGAAACTGAAGCGTGTGCAACCTCTGTGCCTCATCCATCCCCTCCCTCCCCTCCGTGCTCTTACACCAGCATTTGCCAGCTTCCTGGGTAAGGCTGTGTTGCAGGTCCTGTCTCAGTAAGAATTCCGTGTGTATTTGCCCATGCCAGCCATTTTGACAGACGTGGAGGAGTTCTGGCTCGGCTTTGTGTGATGGCTCAACCCTGTATCAGCCACCAGAGAACCCACAAAACGGGGCGCTCCGTCACGGCTTGCCTTAGCGCGTCACCAGTAGCACTAAAGCCTAAGGAAAACCCTGCGAAATGGCGGGGGCTGGAGATGAAGTTTGAACTGAGCCCGTGCCCAGGGTTCACGGCCTGAACCACAGCCCCCGTCCCGCTGCGTTCCCCCCGTGTAACGGGAGGAACCCATCTCTCTTACCAAGCTGCAAACAAACAAACAAATAATACACACACACACACACACAAAAAAAATGCCCCAAGTGTGTTTTTGCAAAGCTTTCAGGTTTCTTTTCCAGGGGTTTTGGTGAGCTAGCTGCCCATCCCTCTTTGCGGATTCAGCT